ATGAACAAACCCACAATATGATAATGATGGTAATAACAAGTAATTATCAAGAACAACAAAAGAGAAGAAGAATAACAAACAAGAAAGAGAAGAATGAGAGAAGAAGTATTTGGAGAGAATGTGTTACCCACAACTGTGGGATTTCTTATTGAACTTTCACTTGCTAACTGCAACTGTAAAATCTGTTCTGTTGTGATGTAGAATACAAAGCAAGGCACCCTATTTATAGTTTTAGGTTTACACTAACCCAAAACATAAAAGGCCCAAAATATTCTAAATCAAATCTAATCATATGATATCAAATCTAATCATATGATATCAAATCTAATCATATAATATCAAATTAATCATATGATATCAAATCTAATCATATGATATCAAATCTAATCATATCAAATCACAATGAATTATATTTAACACACCATCTAATTCATTGTGTCTAAACTGTCTACATTCATCATGGCCCTTAGTCTTCTGAAGGCTTCAACCTGCACTCCCTTCGTCATGATATCTGCAATCTGATTCTCAGTTCTGCAGTGTTCCAACTTCATCTTCCCTTCTGCTACCCGCTCTCGGAGATAATGGAACCTCATTTCGATGTGCTTGCTTCGACCATGAGCTATTGGATTCTTTGCCAAGTTGATAGCTGACATGCTGTCTATCTTCATGGTAATTGCTCCATGGTTCTTCCCTGTGATTTCTTCGACCAAGTTCACCATCCAAGTTGCTTGACATGCACAAAGGGAAGCAGCTATATATTCTGCTTCGCATGATGATAATGCCACCACTGGTTCCTTTCTCGAATTCCAAGCAACTGGTGCACCACCTAACATAAACACATATCCAGCTGTGGATTTTCGATCCTCAGCATCACTACACCAACTGGAGTCTGTGTATCCCACTAACTTGCATTCTTTTCCTTCATCAGCTGCTGGAAACAAAATGCCATAGTCAAGAGTTCCTTTCAGATACCTCAGTATCCTCTTCGCCGCTGCTAGGTGTGATACCTTTGGTTTCTGCATGAATCTACTTATCATACCAACACTGTATGCTAAGTCAGGCCTTGTATGGCAAAGGTATCTAAGTGACCCAATAAGTCTTCTGTATTGGGTTGGGTCGACATCATCTTTATCTGAATCCTTCGACAGTTGCAATCTAGGCTCAGCTGGAGTCGAAGTTTGGTTGCAATCTTGCATCTCAAATCTCTTGAGTATCTCGCCTGCATATCTTCTTTGGTGCATCATCAAACCTCTACTTGTCTTGTAGAATTCGATGCCAAGGAAATATGAGAGATTTCCCAAGTATGACATTTCAAACTCCTTACTCAAGTCATGTTTGAAATCTTCGATCTCCTTCTTGGAACTCCCTGTTATCAACAAATCATCAACATAGAGACATAATATAAGCAATTCGCCATTGCTTCTTCTTACATATACTCCATGCTCAGTTGTACACTTCACAAATTCCTTCTCCCTTAAGAAGCTGTCAATTTTCTTATTCCAAGCTCTTGGAGCTTGCTTAAGTCCATACAGGGCTTTATGAAGCCTGTACACCTTTCTTTCTTCGCCTTGTTTCACAAACCTAGCTGGTTGTGCAACATAAACTTCTTCTTCTAAGGGGCCATTAAGGAATGCACACTTCACGTCCATCTGACATGTGTGCCAGTTGTTCATATTTGCTAGACCAACAACCAACCTGATTGTTTCGATTCTAGCAACAGATGTGAATACTTCATCGAAGTCGATTCCTTCCTTCTGAAGAAATCCTTTCGCCACAAGTCTCGCTCTGTGTAGAGTTACTTCTCCTTTAGGATTTACCTTCACCTTGTAAACCCACCTCACATCAATTGCCTTCTTGCCTTGTGGCAATTCGACAAGTAACCAGGTATCATTGACTTTGATGGACTCTAACTCTTCAATCATTGCTTTCACCCACTTCGAATCTTTCAATGCCTCAGCTGCATTGACTGGTTCGACATCTGCATAGAAAGCATAACGTACCAGCTCACCCTTTTCATCGACTACATCATCTGATGTGATTACACATTCTTGCAACCTTGCAGGCATGTGTCTAGTTCGTCGAGGTCTGCTTGAACCTGCTTCATCTGCAACTGGTTCCTGTCGAACTTCTATTTCGACTTCAGTGGCTGCAGTTGCTAAACACTTGTGCTCCATCACATTGAATCCAATCTTGAAGGTCCTATTCTGAGACATTGGAGCCTTCAAGATTAGTCTACCACCTGCGTCGAGGACTCTCATCATCTTGTCTTTGACAACTACCTTGTAGTTCTTTTCGACAAGCTGCCCTATACTGAGCAAATTACTCTTCATGCCTGGTATGTACAACACATTGGAAATTGTTGACCTTTTGCCATTTTTCCTCATAATCAGAACATCACCAACACCTTCAGCTGCTAGAGTGTTGTCATTTGAAAACTTCACCGTATTCTTCGACGAGGGCTTCATGTTGACAAACCAATCTTTCCTTCCAGTCATGTGTGATGAGCATCCTGAGTCCAAGTACCACTGATCTTGGAATCTTTCTTCATCGTTTGTTGTGACCATTAGCAACGTTTCTTCTTCTTCATGTTTCGCCAACTTTGCATCAGTCTCTTGATTTCTCTTCTTTTCTAGACAATCACTAACATAATGACCATACTTCTGGCAATTGAAACATTGAATGTGGCTTTTGTCTGTCTTTCGATCACCACCTCTTCCTTTACCTGCAGCACCACCTCTTTGGTTGCCTTGGTTCCAAGGTTTCTTTTGATTCGACTGGTTTCCTCCTTTGTTGCCATTCCAGCTACCTTTGCCTTTTCTCTCCTTTTCCGTCTGTGCCTGCAAAGCCATATCTTTCGACTTTCCTGCAGCTCTCTCAGCCATCCTCTGTTCATGAGACTCAAGAGTCCCTTGAAGCTCTTTCTTCGTCAACACTGACATATCTTTCGACTCTTCTATGGCAACTACCACGTGGTCGAATTTTGGAGCCAACGATCTCAAAATCTTTGAGACAACTGCTTTCGTCGTCAGCGTTTCTCCATATACTTTGATTTGATTCACCAACCTTGTAACTCTGGTGAAGAAATCTGTAATGCTTTCGTTGTCTTCCATCTGAAGCCACTCATAGGTTCTCTTGTGAGTTTGTAACCTCACCTCTTTCACCTTCTCTGTGCCTCCAAACGACTTTTCAAGAATCTCCCATGCTTCTTTTACTGAATCAACATCACTAACCTTTTCAAAGTTATCAGGATCAACACACTGATGAATTATAAAGAGTGCTTTATAATCCTTCTTCTTCAATTCTTTGTGCGCAGCCTTTTCCGCCTCCGTTGCGTTCTCCACCAGCGATGTTACTCTGTCCTTCACAAGATCCCAAAGATCTTGATAACAGAAGATCACCTTAACCTGCTTGCACCAATTCTCATAATTGTCTTTCTTGAGAATTGGCAGGGTCGCCGGAAAGTTGCCGTTTGGATAGTTCATCGCCATCACTATCTTCCTTCCTTGAATCTCTTAACCGGAGCTCTGATACCAGATGTTGGAAATTCACCTCACACCCTATGAAGAATTCCCTTCAATCTTGATCTCAAGATTGATGAACAAACCCACAATATGATAATGATGGTAATAACAAGTAATTATCAAGAACAACAAAAGAGAAGAAGAATAACAAACAAGAAAGAGAAGAATGAGAGAAGAAGTATTTGGAGAGAATGTGTTACCCACAACTGTGGGATTTCTTATTGAACTTTCACTTGCTAACTGCGACTGTGAAATCTGTTCTGTTGTGATGTAGAGTACAAAGTAAGACACCCTATTTATAGTTTTAGGTTTACACTATCCCAAAACATAAAAGGCCCAAAATATTCTAAATCAAATCTAATCATATGATATCAAATCTAATCATATGATATCTAATCATATCATATCAAATTAATCATATGATATCAAATCTAATCATATGATATCAAGTCTAATCATATCAAATCACAATGAATTATATTTAACAGTTCTATGCCTCTACGAGGAATAATTTTACCGCCTTGTTCTTGGCATTGACACCAATCCGATTCTTTCAAGTAAACTTAAAAAAAGATCAATATGGAATGACTTGCACCTAAGACATCTGGTGACTAAAAATTTTGACTTTTGAAAAACATAAATAAAATACACTCATTGAATAAAAATATATAGACCGTGTATATAGGCACTCTAATGGTTTAATTCTTTTGAATATGATCGAAACACTTACAATATTTCTAAGAGTATAATATGGACCATAGAACTTGGTAGAAAGATTTTCGATAGTACACTGTGAATTAGAGAACTTAGTAGAATAATTTATGTGATTGGAGAACTTGATAGAAAGACTTATGGAAATATAATATAATATAATATAAATTATAGAATTTTGTAGAAAAACTTTCAAAATTTTAATGTATTATAGAACTAGATAGTAAAATTTTTCGTACGTAAAATTACAAATTCTCTCAAATTTTAATACTAGATCGAAAAACTTCAAAATGGAAGAAAAAAAAAAGAAAATTTTTAAGGATATAAGATAATACTTTCTTTTAAAGAAAAATAAAAAAGTTGTAATTGTAGCCAAATTCTAATCTAGTTATAGACTAAATAAGAGGTGTACTAGCAAAACATGGAATTCCCTGTTCCAAACTAGAAAATTTTGTACATACTCCCAATATTAGGTACGGGTTAAACTGGTTCGAATCCACACCCAGCCCACATTTCAGTTTCACCCCGCCCATCCTCCCCCCAACGGTGTCACCTGGGTCACTCCCACCCAGTCCCACCGCACCTTCGGTATCTGCGTCTTCCCCTTCGCAACACTTCAATTCCAAACAACCCATCGACGTAACCACTTTCTTTCTTAACCAAACCGTGCCACGTTCACACCCTCACAATCACAAAACCAATCAAATCAATGGCTTCAACAACACCTAACTCAAACCAATAACCATTTTCATTTCACAAATCAATGCTATGCATTTCACTATGGATTTCGCAAAACACATAGCCACAAAACCTCCCTTAATCTTCACACGTCCTTTAACCTGGATCACTTCCACTATCCCCCGCTATCACCGCCGCCACTTCCCTCCACCACCACCACCGCCGCCGCCACATTCCAACAACACTTCACTAACTTCCCTACCTTCTATCCTCTCCCACAAAGTTCTAGATTCTTCCAAATGCAAATCGATTTTACCTCATTTAACCTCTCACGAATTCGACCGCTTATTCTTCATCCACCATTCCACTTTTAACCTCAAAACCACACTCGATTTCTTCCGTTTCGCTTCTAATCAATTCAAGTTCCGCTTCACGGTTCGTTCCTATTGCCTCTTAATTCGTTTGCTTCTCGCTTCGAGTTTTTTGCCACGCGCTAGATTTATGTTGAAACGTTTAATCGATGGAAACGTTTACACTCCGTTAGGTAGCATTAACGATAGGCTTAGCGAAATTGCTTCATCGTTTCTTGAACTGAATCGGTTAGCAGAAGGAAGTTGCGGTGAATTGGATTTGTTGCTTCATATTTTATGCTCACAATTTCAGCATTTAGGTTTTCATTGGGCTTTTGATATCTTCACATTGTTTACAAGCAATGGTGTTTTTCCTTCGCTTAAAACCTGTAATTTTCTGTTGAGTTCTTTGGTGAAATCAAATGAACTTCACAAGAGTTATAGAGTTTTTGACGCGGTTTGTCGTAGTGGTGTTACTCTTGATGTTTACACGTACACGACTGCGATTAATGCGTTTAGTAAGGGTGGAAAGATTGATGATGCTGTTGGTTTGTTCTTCAAAATGGAGGAGCAAGGTGTTTTGCCTAATGTGGTTACTTACAATAATTTGATTGACGGGTTATGTAAGAGTGGAAGGTTAGAAGAAGCGTTTATGTTTAAAGATAAGATGGTTGAGAACAAAGTGAACCCTAGTTTAGTCACATATGGGATTCTTGTTAATGGTTTGATGAAGTCTGAGAAATTTGATGAGGCGAATTCGGTTTTGGTAGAAATGTATAGCAAGGGGTTTTGTCCTAATGAGTTTGTTTTTAATGCACTTATTGATGGGTATTGTAGGAAAGGGAATATGAATGAGGCATTGAGGATTAGGGATGACATGATGTTGAAGGGGTTGAAACCAAATGCTGTTACTTTTAATACTCTTTTACAGGGGTTTTGTAGGAGTGATCAAATGGAGCAAGCTGAGAAAGTGTTATGGTACTTGTTATCGAATGGTTTGTCTGTTAACGAGGATGCTTGTTCTTATGTGATTCACTTATTATGCAATAGTTCCAAGTTTGATTCGGCCTTGAAAATTGTAAAGGAGTTGTTGTTGAGGAATATTAAGGTTAATGATAGCTTGCTAACTTTGTTGGTTTGTGGACTTTGTAAATGTGGAAAACATTTGGAGGCAATTGAGCTTTGGTTTAGACTAGCTGATAAAGGGGCTGCAGTGAATACAGCGACCTCAAATGGGCTTCTCCATGGGCTTTGTGTAAGGGGGAACATGGAAGAAGTCTTTGCAGTACTCAAAGAAATGATGGGGAAAGGTTTGGTACTGGATGGAATTTCATACAACACACTTATATTTGGCTGTTGTAAATCAGGTAAAATTGAGAAAGCTTTCAAGCTGAAGGAAGAGATGGTGAAGCAAGGATTTAAACCAGATAATTATACCTACAATTTCCTAATGAAAGGGTTAGCTGATAAGGGTAAAATAGATGATGTTGATAGGGTTTTACATGAAGCTGTAGAACATGGTGTGGTTCCAAATATCTATACATATGCACTAATTTTGGAAGGATATTGTAATGCTGATAGGATTGATAATGCTGTGAGCTTTTTCAACAAGTTAGTTTATAAGGAAGTAGAACTTAGTTCTGTTGTTTATAACATACTTATTGCAGCTCATAGTAAAGCTGGGAATTTCATGGAAGCCTTCAAACTCCGCGATACTATGAAAAGTAGAGACATTCTTCCTACGATTGCTACATATTCTTCTATAATACATGGAATGTGCCATAGTGGCCGTGTTGAGGAAGCAAAGGGATTTTTTGAAGAGATGAGAAATGAAGGATTGATGCCAAATGTCTTTTGTTATACTGCTCTAATTGGTGGTTACTGTAAGTTAGGTCAGATGGATGAAGTGCAGAACATCTTACTAGAAATGACTTCAAAATCTATACATCCTAATAAAATTACCTACACTATTATGATTGGTGGTTATTGTAAATTAGGAAATACGACAGAAGCGACTAAGCTTTTAAATGAGATGATAACAAATGGAATATCACCGGATACTGTTACTTATAATGTATTGCAAAAAGGATATTGCAAGGAAAAGGAGCTCGAAGAAACTCTTCAATGCGATCCTATGCCTAATACAGAAATAACGTATACAACATTGGTTGACAAGTTGCATCCACATACAGATGCAGCAATTAGTAATCAAGAATAATGAAGAAACTACTCAAAACAGTTGACACTTAGTTGGTACCAGAACTCTCGTGGTCGAGACTTCCATTGTTAAGCTTGATTTCAAGCTCATATTATTTGAAAGATGAAGATTTTCATATGCTTGATCTCCAGGCGTGCAGGTTACTAGCAACAGCTGAAGCAACAGACTCTTGACTTGGCTTGCTAGTTGAACAAAGAGCCTTTGATTTTAAGGGTAAGCCTTTCAAGATCAAACTGTTAATTTTTTTTAATTCTTTTATTCTACATTGCATTTGTTATTTATTTATTTTTGTTTTGTCATGGGTTTTGAAAAAAAATTGATAACGGTAATATAGGATGATGACTCTTTTTCTTTCGCATTGGTCTTTCTCCTTGCGTGTATGTAGTTCTAATTCAGAAACTATTGGACAGCAGATTTTTCACTGTAAGATGTCGACTTAGGACCAATTTTTTTTTTTTTTTTTTTGGGATTTCGGTGTGCAAAATGAATATGTTCTACTATGCGACGGAAACTATTGGAACCGCTGCAAATCTATTGTAGGTGGCTTTACATTGTATCTGCAAGCGGCTGATTTGTACGGCTGCTACTCCAACTGTTACATCAAACTCTTCATTTATTTTTATATAATAAATATATGTAGTTCCTTCTTCCCATAAGGTAAGAGCTTTTTAACTAAATCGCTCCCACCAAGGTAATTCGTTAATTTATTTAAAGCACTGAAGTTGTCTACCCTTTATTGTACCCAAACTACCATTAAATTTATTGGCAAAGTTGTCTTGGCAAAAAAAAGTTTGTGCAAGTAAATTACCTTATTTGTTGTTTGTTGAAAAAATTGAATTAAATAGGGGTATTGTGTTAAAAAGTAATTAACGCAGTAGACAATTCCAAAGATTTCTCCAACATTTTGTGACGGAGGGAGTAATTTTTAATTTTACCAGTAAGTGTAGTAGAGATGAAGATGTTGCATTGGATCGTGGTAAAAGCTAAACGAGATAAGATTAAAAATGACAAAATTAGAGAGTGTTGTGGTAGTACTAATACCTATAGTAGAAAAAATGGTGGAAAATAGGTTTAGGTGGTTTGGGCATGTAGAGAGAAGACCTGTAGATTATGTGTTGTCAGGAGAGTAGATCATATGGAGAGGATTCAAACGACTAGAGGCAGGGAAAGATCTAGAAAAACTATAAGAGAAACTACTAAGCAAGATCTTTGAGATTAACAAATTGGATAGGAACATGGTCTTGGATAGAACAATATGGCGGAATTTGATCCATGTAGCCAACCCTACTTAGTGAGATAAGGCTTGGTTGTTGTTTTGATGATCTAGTGGGTACATGTTAAGGTATTGATTTAGTAGCTGGTTGATCACGTGTTTTTCTGGCCCTCTTCTAATTGGAACTAAAATTTTAGAAATTAGAAATGCGCTAGATATGTATGCTCTATCAAATTGTTGGATTTGATTACTAATTTTTATGAATCATAGATTTACTGATGTTGTTTATTTGGTGATCAACTCAAGCCAGCCCAACCTACAGTTGCAGTCATATTTAATAAGAGCGATACAGTCAAGCATCAAATGAATATCTTATCCATCTTTTCCACTTGTTTTGGTGAGGGCTCATATTTAGATTATTTTCCACACACATGTATATATCCAATCAGTGAGTTGTGTCTTTGGTGTTCTTTGTTGTGTGAATATATTTTGCTTTGATTTTCAGGAACCCTTTGTCATATGGTCTCAGAGCATCAATTGGAGGCAGATCTCTTGTGGATATTGGAGATAGCATAGCATTAAACATTTGAGGAGACTAACTGGTATTCTTTATTTAAAATCTTAAAGAAATAAATCACTTTTGTACACAACTTTAAAAGCATTTCTTTTATAAGTTTAACCAAGCATACACACTCTAAATTTCTCTAGAAGGTTACCATTCAGCACACATCAATCTTTTAGATATGGTTTCCCACTCAAATGGCATTGTCATTTTTTCCCCAATCGGGCTTTTTGTTTGAATATTCAATATTTCATTTTTTGTCTGCAAAACACAGGTTTCTATATCTAATTCTATATTAAACATGATTTATTAGATTGTAGCAAAGCAAGGAAGAAAACCACTTCTCAGATATAATGTTTTAGGTTAAAGCAGAAGTAAAAGTTGAATATGAAATATGTAAATGCGCACTTGTTCATTAGCATTTTAAACCAAAATATTAATAGCTTAGTTGTTTTTCCCAACCTCAGTTCCCAACAAAGCACCAAAGTCACGTAAGGAATATAACAAGAAATTCAACAATCAGGGGTAATCTCAAGTTTCCACCGAAGTATTGTAGGGCACTTCAGACAAGATGGAAACTTGATGTAGAAAAAGCGACAGCAATAATCCAGAGACTGTTAGTAGTATGTACAAGGTAAGTGGACACACCTTCTGACTTGAAAGTGTCTATGTTTTTCTTCCTTGGGTTTTTTGTGCTAATGTGTCTTTTTGGTGTATTGAAATTACAACTTAATGTTAATTTCATCAGGTGCTTGCTGGTGGTAAGTGAACTTGTTAGATTTCCAAACTTCAGGATGCCCTGCATTTTTAAGGAGCATTTGATTTTTGGGATGGGTTGTTACAATTTGGAAGTTAGACTTAATATATGCTTTAGATATATTAAGTTTTAAGATGTAAAAGTTTATAAATATAATATACACGCTGGATTGCTGGCCAAATGACATTCGGTTTTCTGTTTAAGTCATCCCTTGCTGCAATTTTTTCAATGACTCTTGTGGAATTTTAAAAAAAGAAAAGAAGATAGATAGGACTAGTGGAAAGATGAAAGGGAAACCAACATCTTGATTGTAGATATGCAGCTAAATCCCTTGAAGTATAATGTTTTTCCTATTTCAATTGAACTGTTTTAAAGAAATGACAGATAAATTTATCTGCCTCTTTCTTCTGGGGCATATTTTTCCTTACAAATGAAGAAAAGAGATTTTAGTACATTAGCTGTACTCGGACACTTTTATGTATATCTAGTATTTAAGAAACACTCGCCTCCTTTCTACTTAAAGTGTAAAGCAACGTTAGAGGTTTAGAAATGAAACAGTTTGTCCTTGCCATTGTTCTCTAGTCTATGCATTTTTTTATAATGAATGGTGCTACGTTTTTTCCTTTGCCACTTACACAGTTCACCATGGTTTAAACAGCAGGAGGCATGCTTTTATAAAAATTTGATTTTTCACTTCAAAATGCCCAAATGACATTTCCTTCGTGTTTGCTCAGAGAAAGAAGACAGATGTCTGGCATTGCTTGTACATGGTGGGATACGACCTCTCTTTTATACCAATAAATGACTCTAAAACCTGTTTATTTTGTATAAAAAACTATAAATTGTGTTAATTGCTAATAAAAAGAGTTGAATTAAACAAGTGTGTATATTTTACTATAACAACGCAAGTGTTTAAATATGCATTATTTTTAGTTAATTTTTGTAATATATTTTCTATCATAATTGTTTATTTCAAAAGTTTTATTTTTTGGTTAGTTAGCTATATTGATGCAGGTGTTAACATGATATCAATTTTTATAAAAAATGTATTTACAATTGTAAAAAATATGACATCCTTTAAAAAAAAATAATTACAATACTAAAATATAATTGTAACTACGGGGCTTAATCCAAAAATATTATTGATTGTCTAAAAAAATCTAAGGAATTGTTTAACTAATCTTAAAAATGTCTTTCAAATAGTCTCACTGAAACAGCTCAATTGAGGCACATTAAATTTTTTTCTTTTAAAATTTAATCTAAAGATGCATCTTCGAAACCGCTTCATATATACACCTCATGCATTCTTTACTGAAACATCTTTTTTTGACATACATGAATTCAAAGATGCATCTCTGTATTCACTTCAGATATAATTCGAAGATGCATTTTTGTATTCACACCATAGAATAATGTTTTACTGTTTTAGAGATGCATCGATGAAATTGACGATGTATTATAGTTATACTATAATATTCAATTTTATATAAATTGAACCACACACTTTTAAATTAATATAAAAATTAAAAAATTTCAAGTACACAATGATGTCAAAATAGAATACAATCGATAATAGTGCCCATAATACAAATACTATATATTACTGCGTATGACGGACTCGGGGCCCCTGTTTTTACGATGCCTCCTGTACTACAGTGCCCCCTAATGGCATCTAGAACGTCCCTCACCTCAGAGCCATTCGTACAATGTCCTTTGTCTATAACGTCCTGCCCAAACTCCATGATACGACGACATTTGAGCAACACATAAAAAACATGATCTATCCTAGTTTGTTCCTCCTCTAGTATCTCCTAATGAGCTGACCTAAGTGGATCTCCCGGAGCATCCGATGTCATACAAGGATGTGACACTCTGAAATAAAACTAGATGTAGTCGTGTGCAACACTTCAGTTGGTAGGAGTTATGGTACTCAATGACTCATCAGGTACTAGATGATTAAGGTAATCATCATACATGTCACCCATATCTCTATGTCATAACGGGGGGAGCATACTCGAAAGAGTCTCCGAGAACAAATTGCACGTAGCTGAACTGCCGCATGACGCGCTCAAGCAGGTGTGGAAACATCATACGTCGTCAAAGGGATGTGTCTCATGATGTTCGACGTACACTTGGAAGTGTATATCCTCTACAACCAAGCGGTCAAGATACACTTTGTATGGATTTGTCGCATGATTCCCTATAAGCGGGATGAATGCAGAAGCATGTGACATCTCCTTAGTGTAGGTCGGAGCACATGACCTGGATATGCGTGAGAAGTGCTAGAGGATCTAAGCCTAAAAAGTTGCACATATAAATCATTAGTAATGAAGTAGTAAAAGTGTTATGAAAATGACACACAAACACTAAAAGATGCAAATAAAAATTACCGTCAATAGTATGATGTTGCCTATCATATGTTTGATAGATCACATCCACATAAGTGGCACTCTTATCCACAAAAAGGG